GCGAAGATTCAAAGAATCAATCATACCATCTACGCAGATTATATAACCATCTGGCGCATCGGCGGGAGCGATGGTCAAGTTGAGGAAGCCATGCAGCACGCAATCGGCGTGACCGAACGTTTCCTCCGTCCCACTGGTCTCAGGTGCTCCCCATCGAAATCTGAACTTCTGCTCTACAAGAAAAGACCCCGAGGCGGCGGCCACCGTGACTGGAAACCTGCGTCTCAAATAGAAATACGGCTTTCCACTAGTGGCGGGTCCCCAGTGCCCAGAATGGATTCGCTCCGAATATTGGGAATGTATATCGAGTCCAACGGCGCTAACGGAGCTGCACAGAGACAGATCACTACCAAGACGGAAAGTGCTCTCGGCCTCATCCGGAGGATTATCAACAGACACCGCGGAATCAAGGAAGACAATCGCATCCGCATCATACATGCGTTTGTGCTCTGTCACCTTTCGTACTCGGCGGCCATGTATAATTGGCATATTGCAGAGAGAAGTAAGCTCAATTCCCTCCTAAGAAATGTCTTCAAGCTCGCTCTCGGCTTGCCTGTAAGCACTCGCACTGAAAACCTTTTCAAGCTCGGTCTTCACAATACACTCGAAGAGATAATCGAGGCGCAAGAGCGCTCACAGCTGCTCAGGCTTTCCGGAACCAAATCGGGCCGCAAGATACTCGATGATTTGGGCCTCAACTCCATTAACCAGTGCCCCGATTCCATGCAGATTCCCAGAAACATCAGGTCTCAACTGCGCATCGCACCCGTTCCCCGCAATAAGCACCCTGCGCACAACGTCGGTCGGCGTAGGGCCAGGGGTAGAGCTTTGCTCGAGCACGTCCGTAGCAACCACACTGATGCAAGCTTTGTGGATGCTGCGCCATATGTCCGACAAGAAGCATTCGCTGTTTCTATCGTCGACTCAAATTTCAGGCTCACTTGCTCCGCCACAGTACGCACATTGAAGCCCGCGATAGCCGAACAGGTTTCAATCGCGCTGGCTATGCTAGATAGTCACAGAGAGTCAATATACAGCGACTCCAAGGCGGCTATCAAAGCCTAAGAAACCGGGATGGTAGCCCCTTAAGCCCTCCGCATTCTCCAAAGCGTCAAGAGTATCACGCCCCATTATCTCGCTTGGTTTCCCACTCACCTTGGGTCTATTGAGGGCTCTACCTCTAACCCGAACAAGAGCGCACACGAGGCCGCGCGAGGACTCACTGACCGCGCCGCATCCACAGTTCGTCTGCCTCGCTGGGAACCCTTACTTACGTTCAACGAAATAACAAAGCACTTCTATCTGTCAAGAAGGTTATTCCCTCTCCCTCACCCAGCCTTGTGTAGGGCGCAGGCAGTCACCCTAAGACTACTGCAAGCCAGTGCGTATCCTAACCCTGTGGCTCTTTATGCCATCTACCCTGAACGGTATCCAAGTGCGGATTGCCCCGCTTGTGGACTGTTAGCCACATTCAATCATGTGTTCTGGGAATGTGAAGACATCGGCCCCGCCCTCAGCGAGAACTGGTGGGCTGCGCTCTTACGCAGCCCCGAACTTAAGGATCAAACCCTGGCCGTCCAGAGTGCCCGTGAACGGGCCGCCAAGCTCGGCTTGAGGTCCCAACGTGGGATTAGCCGGGTGACGCGGGGTCTCCCCTGCGTCTTCTCAGGACAAAAATAAAGTTTTAATCAATCAATCGATCACACAGAGAGGATTCCTTGGTAATTTATTTTCGTTCCAACTATTGCAGGTCAGCCTTTTTTGTTGTCAGGTGGTTGCATGTGCTACTGCGTTGTTCTATGCCTTGTATAAAGGTACATAAAACAATCATCTTAAAAAATTATATACTTTCACCTTGACCGATTAGACTTTTTTTTCTTCGTCTCAATTCTAAACATTATGCCTATAATAACCACGGGTTCGGAGCAAATCCCCCCAACTCGGTAACAGGTGAATCACACGGGCCAAGCAAGCAAGCTTGCCATGCGACAAAAGAGACTAAGAAGAAGAAGAAGAAGAAGAACGAAAGGCAAGAACGTTGTCTCTAACCGCTGCTGCCCTGGCGTCCAGAAGGAGATCGAGCAGGTAATAACTTCTATATTTACCTTAAAGGAGAGGACTAGTTTTGTTGCCGAGGTGCGTTTAAGTTGGGTGCCTTAACTACAGAATAAGCGGCAAGACAGCCATTGTAGCCAATGTTAGGAGCTATTAGGGTTAACCCTTGCCTAGCATTTTCCACTCCCTTAAACAAATTTCACACTTCACCTTTGAATGCAACATCCTGACAAGCACTCCTCCACAAATGTGCCAAACCGAAAGACATTTCGCTTACTTCTGTGCGAAGTAGGCATGTTCGCAAATAAAGCACAGAGATATTGGCACGCGAGTATAATTTAGTTTCGCAGAACTAACACGCAATATTCTCAGATATTCGCCGTTGATCTTTAAGGCTCCGTATGATGCCAGAAGAACCGGAGGACGTGTGCGAAAGCTGTCCGAGTGTGACACAGGTGTAGTGTGCGGCATATATCCTAAGGATGTTACGAGAGCATAAGTAATTTTTATGACAGTTACTGTTTCCGCCACCGTCTATTTCGAAGATGTATTTGCACTCCTGAAATCAATAGAATCTTGCGGCCAACTGATTTTTGCCGGCAGGACTGGTTTGTCTCTGTTCGCATTGGTTGAACAAAATTGGCAGATCCCACGTAAAGTGCGAATCGTTGATATGCGAAGCACGAATAAAAAAGGTTGATATGCCACTTTAAAATCAGCCCAACGTTTCGAGGTGGAGGTAAATGATGCCGTACAAGGCTTCCATTGATTGATTGATTTGTGGGGTTTAACGTCCCAAAACCACCATATGATTATGAGAGACGCCGTAGTGGAGGGCTCCGGAAATTTCGACCACCTGGGGTTCTTTAACGTGCACCCAAATCTGAGCACACGGGCCTACAACATTTCCGCCTCCATCGGAAATGCAGCCGCCGCAGCCGGCCGGGATTCGAACCCGCGACCTGCGGGTCAGCAGCCGAGTACCTTAGCCACTAGACCACCGCGGCGGGGTGTACATGGCTTCCATGTAACGATTATCATGTCTGGATGTGTCGTTTACCTTCGTCATCTATTCACGCCACTTGGTACCACATTTAGTATATGTGGAAGAAGTGAAACGTCCGCAAGCATGCTATGAGCGTGGTGTGTTCTTACACGACACGCGTGTCAGGATTATCAAGCTTGCACCAGTCATATACTTTCGTCATCCATTGACGTCACGTAACACAAAATTTGGTTTATGTGGAGCTAGCAAAACGGCCACGAGCACATCATGAAGGACCCAATATACTCCAATGTAGCGTCGACGTGCGCGATCGCTGGGCACAGCGACGCTACCTTAGCAAAACGCGAGCACTCTATAGGCTGATGCAAGGTGCGACCGACAGCAAACGGCGCGAAATGAGACATGCTTCGTTTCGCACTGATGCGCTGCCCAGAAAACTCTGTGTCTCCCACGTTTCGTGATGGAGGGACGCCGGACGCGCTGAACGCGCATGCGTCAAAGCAACGCGGCGCGGCGCGCGCCTGCGAGTTCATGGCAGGACTGGCGCCTGGCGTGGAAACGCCGGCGTCACCCGACGAAATGAACGCCGATTAGCACGCGCAACCCGTCACGTCGAAATGTATCGGCGCCTTGACTGTGGCATGCAGTTATGTTCTCACATGACGCGCATCTTTTGATTATCATGTTTGAACCAGTCGCATACCTTCGTAATCCATCGACGTCACGTAATACCAAATTTGCCATATGTAAAGCTAGCGAAATAGCCGCGAGCGCATCATGAGTGTTGTAGGTATTCATGTTGGTACATGACACGCATGTCATGATTATCATGCTTCTATGTGTCATTTACCTATGTTGTCCATTCGCGTCACGTAATATCGAATTCGGTATAAGTGAAGCTATCGAAACGGCTGCCAGCGCATCACGAGCGTGGCATGTAGTAATGTTGTTAAATGACACGCATCTCATGATTATCATGTTTGCACCAGTCACATACCTTCCTAATCTATTCGCGTACTGTAATACCAAATTTGGTAAATGTGAGGCTAGCGAAACGCCCGCGAGCGCATCATGAGCTTGGCGTGTAGTCATGTTGTTACATGACATGCATGTTATGATTTTCAGGTTATGGTCTGTTCCTTGTGTTCGCCATGCAATCATGTCATGCCATACCAGTTTTGTAACATGCCATGTGAACGAAATCACTGTAAGAGCTGCGGTATCATGGAATGTGAATCATGACATTCATGACATCCGTATCATGCTTTTCATGTTATGACTAGTCAAATATGTTCTCATACAGTCATGTTATGCCATACCAAGTTTGATATCGATACCGTTATTGAAACGGCCAGGAAAGCTAAATGTTGTAGGCGGCTAGATAGATAGATAGATAGATAGATAGATAGATAGATAGATAGATAGATAGATAGATAGATAGATAGATAGATATAGATAGATAGATAGATAGATAGATAGATAGATAGATAGATAGATAGATATATATATATATATATATAGATAGATATAGATAGATAGATAGATAGATAGATAGATAGATAGATAGATAGATAGATAGATAGATAGATAGATAGATACGCGCTAAGTCGCTGAAGTTCGTTAAGGAATGCTTCGCATTTAATACTGCCCAGCAACACACTGGGTCATGTAGCCTAAAGGTGCCCATGGATCCACCATATAAAAGCATTTTATTAGATGCACAACACGTGGCCCGTATAGCGATGCACCGAGCACGGTCTCCGAACTTAGGTGGTGCCATGGAACTTCACCACAAGAGAACAAGAAGAAAGTTCGAGCATTAGATGTGCCATGAAGTTAGGTTGGGTTAGGGTAATGTGAGGAGACGCATGGAGGCGTTCGTGACCATCCCACACTTGTATAACGCTGTGGCTCTATCACTATACTGTCCTACTCGTAGCTCGTCGAGGCATAGCCACGAGTCGACGTCCTCGCGGCATACCACGACAGCACCCGCCCAGTTCAGCTCGCCAAATGAGCCGCAATCCCCGCCATTCAATGCGGCAATGGAGGCGCTGCGGCGCATGCGGCCGCCGGCCAAGGGTGCGACGCCGGTCACGGACCCGGACAGCGCGCTGCCCTGCGGTCACCACTTTTACGCGATGCTGGTCGCATGCTCCGGTACCTTGGCTGCTGGAACCGCACTCGGGTTCGCCTCGGCCGCCATGGAATCCATTGAGCGCCAACCCTGGTACGACCTGCCACGGATTCCGCCTGAGACGCAGCCGAGAAATTACGTGAGCTTTTTATTTACTTCTATGGTATGCAGTGCATGTTTTTGTTTGAGGAAATCAGCTGAGCCAGGACGGCGAGCTTCAGCTGCCATTTCACGTTTCGCTTCCAAATCAACCTACATTTTATTGAAGTACTAAAATATTCGAGTGATATGCATTTTGCTGCTCTGCTTTTTTATGTCCTTAAAGACGCTCTCTTCGTAATACGAAGCAGAAGCTGCTCGAAATCGTTTTATGATGGCTATTCTTTTAACGCGTTGTAAATCATAAGTTAGAAGAAGTATTTCTGCATAACTATGGTACGGTACTTCACGCACATGTGTTAAAAACTAAATAACATGCACTGCGTTGTTCTTTAGTGTGGTTAAGTAATACACCATTTCTTCGTTCGTGATGCACGTTTCAGGCTTTCTAATGCATCTAGTCGGCCACAGAACAATCATGTTGCTGTCTTCCGCCGGCCTCATCAGTTCGTGGATGTGCTTGGCCGTGGGAAACAGCGTGAGCGTGATACTGGTTGGCCGAGTTGCTTGCGGTCTCTTTGTGGGCGTTGTCGCCAACTGCGTTTGTCTCTACGTTGCCGACGTCGCGCCTCCAGCCAAGAGAACGACTTTTGGAGGTCTTCCGGAGGTACGCTGAACTACTTTATGCCGTCCGGTTTAAGCTCGCTCCGCGACTCGTTCTCCCTCAGGGGCTTCGACCCCAGCTCGATCCGATGCCGCACATCTCGACAGTCATAATACCTGGTCGTACTTTGATCTAGACTACGTACCCTATATAGGTTTCCGAATGTTCATAACAAGAATAGCAAATCAAATTTGTGTGGTTGAGTTCCCAGTTAGCCTGGCATGAAAACCACCTACCACCACTGTTCTCCATTGTCAACTATGGCTGGGTCGCGCACCTCGCTAACAGCTCGGTGACAACTCCACGATTATCACCAGCAGTGCATGGGCCATTGCGGTGAGCTATCGGAGCTAATATTGGAAGCCGCGCTTTTCCGCCACTCTTCTTCGTCCTGCTCCGCTCTGCTGTTTGAGCACCCGAACACTAGCCAGTACACCCAGAGCCCAGTACCTTCATATACCACTAGATTCCAAGTGATGCACTTGCGGCACGTCTGATCGAATCACAGTGCACAATCTGCAATGGACATGTCATACACTACTTTTACTAAGAAAATGTTACTTTGAGACTGACAACGCTGGATCACACCAATACACGGCTGGGTCGTTTTAAAAGGAACTCGCCCCCCCCCCCCGGCAGCCCCCTGAGAGCTCGAAGAGCTATAGTTGAACCGCGAATTGCTCTGAAACCCTTCCAGTGGTAGTGCCGTGGGGCAGCTTCTAATTTAATGTTTATTTATGCTAAACATTTTTACGCGATAGCGTTAAATAGCTCGTTCAGCCGAAATTACGGAGTCCGTATCGGTGTCGTTGGCTGTGAGCGAGAAATCATCGTCGTTGCGTGACCAAAAAAAATAAACAAGCTTCTTTGCGTGACGAAAAATTGAGAAAGATGCAAATAAAATAAAATAAATGTTCTGGTACTGAGTGGGGTCAAACCGCGGTCGTTTGCGTGGCAAGCGGGTGTGCTATCACACAGCAATGTCTCTGCTCCTGGGTACAGTTAAAATATCTTTATCTGCATGAAAATGCAGTGGAAATAACTTTCATACTTTACTAACACGCGTGTCCTGTATATATACACCATGAAACATTGCGCAATAATGCGTGGTACAAGCTTACTTTGCTATTGGGGGTCAGTACATGGAATAATATAACAACTTCATAGTTTAAAGTCAGTCACCCATTAATAAAAACACACACGCTACTGCAACCTTATGGTCACGTAGTGCGTGCACAGGCAGCTTGAAAATATTTCATATACCAAGTGTTTGAAGTGCGCACTCGGAATAGAGTATCACTATCGTGTTCAACTTTTGAACGCGAAGCTTAAGGCTCCCCACTTTTTCGCTCTCTCTTTTTTCTATGTGACCATGCCCCAGGTGCCACTCTTCGTCCTTTTAATAGAACCAAAGCATCTCGCAGTACCAAACTGTTGATATGTGAATTTATAGAAGCATGGAAAGTTATAGCAAACACTGTGCACATTGACACAGTACGTTGTGTGCAGTATGAAAATAATTAGTATGAACACGACATGTATCTTTTAAGTAATGCAATCGCCTACTCGCGTCATTTCGGATCATGCCTTACTTACACACAGGTTCTGACGCAGGTGTTGCATTTCTAAATGCAACTTCTCTAGCATTGGAATGTACTCGCACAGATCGGAAATTGTACTTTGCATCTCCTGTATCAGCTGGTGATCGTGTGGCCAGTGAGGCACCTCGAAGTGGCCACGACTTTCGGCATTTTCTTCCAAGAGAGATCTTTCACCGCGTGTTATTGGCCACTCGTGAATTTAACGTCGGTATACCTGCAGGTAGCCATGAGCGCCGGGCTTCTGACGGCTTACTCGCTGTCCGGATTTCCCTGGGAAGTGCAGGCGGGCGGTTGCGCCCTCACGGCCGTCCCCATGCTGGCGATGCAGCGCTACATTGTCGAAAACCCGCGCTGGCTGCTTGCACGGGACCGCTCTTTGGACGCTGACACGGCCGTGTTGCGACTGTACGGCATCGACCCGCCCGCTGACTTCCGACAGCGCAAAGTCGAGGGCGCCTCGGACCAGCAGAGATCCGCAGATGCCAGCCGATGGCCGAAGGAAGCCAGGTGAAAATACTTTGAAGACTACGCCTTGCGCGGCCTCTAACACTATCTATCTGTAAGAGGGCTTGATCCATTACTATGATTGAACTTTGTCCCTAGTAGAGGCCTCCCTTAATTACTTAATGTGTGTAATCACATGACACCTACAGTGACAGCTTTTACCTGACCTTTGACTGACTTCGTAGTGTCGGTAAGGTTATAGCTAAGTATAACAATTACTCAACATTTTAAGGAAGAATTAGTGTATGCTATACGCTGTTTTAACTGCCTTCTTTTTATGCAACATCCATTGCATGGCTGAGTTTCATTCCCACAATTTTTTGTAATTCGGAGCGCTCCACGGACGCGGCCTTTCGTCCCTCCATCCATATCATGAGGCGTCGTAACGCTCATGGTATACTGCGTTCAATACAGGTAAGGGGAGCTACTATACAGGTCATTACAAGGATAGAAATGATCGACACTGCCTTGAAATGAACGAATGAGGTTTATCGTAATATAATTTACAGAAATAACCTGGAAGAAAAATCTTTCGTGCACATGGGGCTGACTCCAGCAGGGCACCAGAGAGTGCGTCATGGCCTCGCTGAGCGAGAAAATAATCTGACAATGAATTTACTTTAATGGATTTCTGTTGTAATTGCACTTGTTTTCTGTATGGCTCTTTTTGAAACAATCGCAGGAATTTCACGGCTTGTCTGCTACTCTACCTTCTTCAGAACATCTCCTGCGCTCAGCTTTGCCTGCTTCGAGCTGTGCAGGTGATGGCCGGCGCAGTGGCAGACGTGCCCCCACAGGCCTTCGCTATGTTCCTAATCATCTTGCACATAGGATGCGCCACTTTAGCCATTACCGCAACAAAAAAAGCCAGCCGACGTGGACTGCTTGGTCTGTCGGCCTTACTGGTCGCAGCTGTTTTGTTCAAACTGCGACCACTGGATCATCTTGGCTTCATGTAAGCGTTCTCCTATTAAATAACACGGACTTCGTATAACCTGTTCCCGTAGCTTCTTCAGCGTAATTTGACAATTTGACGGCATGCCTACAAACGAAAATTTTGAAGAACCTTGTCAGTGTGAGAAATAACTGTATATACCACGCATTGTGAGAATCATTGCTATGCGAAACAGTCTGCGGCTGTAGCCGCTTAACCCCGCTTTCGGTTAGGTATTACCAAGACGATTACCACAATTGCTTACTTTCTGTTGTTGCGTGCATATATATCATGGGCTTACCAGGCATACCGTCTAGAGTCTGCCCCCTACGGAATAGTTGTTTTTTTCTTTGACGCAATGCAAACACTCTAGTTGCAGCACACACTTCCCCTTTTCGAAACAAAGTGCAAGTACAAATAGCGTTCGTCGGAGTTTTTCTTGACGGGGTGAGTAGTGCCGAACTATATCTTGAATGGCAGAAGCACATGCGTACAAATCAACAAGTGCAGAGTTACAGCAGCAGAGCGATCTCTTACGTATGATATGTTGGACCCCCTAAAATAATGTTTTGATGCCTATTTTCACTCACCTGAATAGATGTTGAGTGAGAGTCAGCTGTGCGACATACCCGCGTACAATGGAGCATGTTATGCCCCTATACGATTGACAGGGACTTTCGCAAAGGGTTTTAATGACGTAGACGACAGGTTTGTCATGTTATTTGTGCCATTAGCTGTTAGTTGTGCTCATGGTTCAGCCATCATCCCCCCCCCCCCGGAGAAATATACCAGGTTTAGTATAGACCAAATCAACGAGAAGATCAATCGAGCATCCTGGCGTAGGCGTCTAGAAGAACAGAAACGGTTAAAAGGCCCTTGGTTCACAAAGAAATCATACGATCAGTTCGTAGGCAGCAGTGATAATAATTTCCTTGTTTTAGGAGTTTTCATTGTAACTAGCAATTCCGACAATGGTGAAACATATGCCAATAACTATCTTCTTGGCCATCCCTGCCGAAAGATCATGTCTTATTGAGGTATGCATGTCTGTTTATCCGAAGCATTAAAAATTATTGACACTGATGCTCATAATACATGTAGCTTGAGCCCCACATCGTTCGTAGTGAATTTGTAAAGATAAAGTTTTGTAAAACCTATAGAACAACGTGACATCATTGAGGGTGTAAATTTTTAACAGTTTATTATAAGCCCGTGCATAAGGAGACGACCCATCATATTTTATGGTAGAGATTTTTTCTTTAACAACGCCAGCATTCGGTCCTTTAGTGAAAACGTTGAAAATGTTGTTGAGCTTTTCAATGCCTGAGGTTCTCTAATCAACGGAGCTCACACTGCTTATCAGATAGTGATAGGCTGATAAGAACGTAACTGCATATAGACAAGCCCGAGTCATTAAAGAGAGGGGGGGGGTCTAGGCAGGAGCCATCTATACAAAAATAAGTAATTTTGTTGGTGAAACCAATATTTAGGAGCCATTTAGTCGTTTTCGTGCTGTATAAGAACGCAGTACTGTTCTCGCATCATGTTTTCGCGCATAAGTCAAGCCATGTTGTTTCATACAAAATCAATTCTGCCAAGTTTCCGGCACAATGGCACTTTTGCGCATTCTCTCTTTTCTCTTCCATTAATTCGTTGTGGTAAACAAAATTCTGAACAACTTTCGTAGGTTCGTAAGGTGCACAAGTTTGTTTGTTCATTTAATTTAAAATTTGTAGCCTACAGAAGTAACTGCTGGCAGATAGGTTAGAGTAACACTTCGTCCGCTTCCATTTTACCCTACCCTCTTTCTTCCTAATCAGGAATGACGCTTCTGCCACCGGGACCTAGGTAACGCTTCTCTCAGTTTTTTGTAGAGTAGGCGTAATACTGTGCACGTGTATGTCCGGAAAAGGACATTCAGAGGGGCTTCTCATGAATATGTTGATTTCAGCGAAATGTTTCTTAAGTGGCTGGTTTCCGTCGAGTTTTGTAAAAAAATGAATATATATATATATTTATGCGTGTATTCAGTACTGTGAAATATTCTGTTAATAAAATTAAAATGAAGTGCTTCGCAGACGTTAGCCCTCTACAGTAAGGAAAAAAATTGCTTACTTAACTTCCGAAATAGCAGGCTGAAAAGCGGCATACCTTTGTCCGATCTTTTTAAATGTGCATATCTCTTCCATTTATCTTATTACCCGTACATACTGTCGAACAGATTAAATAGGCTACAGTCTTTAATGTGTCAATGTTTTCATCTTGGCAGAAATTATTTATTAAATCAAGAAACACTGGAGATTTCTCTGTTGAGTAGGAGAAGTTAAAAAAATCACATTCAATTATAACGCAGCAGCACCGAGATTCATCCACACTTCCTTTATTCTCTATTATAAGCAAATGAAGCAACACTTCTATTCAAAAATGACCACTATGCATACTGATTTCCGGACAGAGACTGGACCGTGGACAAGGACTCCACCAGAGCCAGCTGGACGGTCTTGCTTTCGGTGGGCCTGCTCGTGCTGGCTTACTCGGTGGGCTTGTGCCACATCCCCGCACTGCTCACCGGCGAGCTGATCCCTCTGCGGCGGCGATACGTCGGCTCCTCGTTCGTGTGGGCGTCGCGGTGGTCCCTGACCTTCGTGATGATCCACTTCGACGAGGACGTGCTCGCCGCTTTCAAGAACAGGGGAACACTGCTCACGCTCAGCGTGGTGGTCGCAGTGGTGGCGGTCACTGCCATTGCTCTCATCCCCGAAACCGAAGGACGCACGCTGACGGACATTCATAGATAACCGCCTGACAGAACGTCGGCCGCGTCGTACCCGCCGTTGCTCCACGTGGCCCAAATATTGGTTTGCCGCTGCAACGTGGAGTAGGCAGGAAGTGATGTTGTTTACGGTGTTAAGCCGAGTATCTTCTATGTAATTATGTTGCTGATTTCTACGTCTTTCATGCATGAAATATTTCTTTCGCAGTCCTACTGCGTCTGTTCATTTTTCCATCAGTGAGGTAATTGCTGCCCTGTCTATTTTTTCACTGATACTCAGTGCATTGTAATAAAGACAAAACCCTTGCTTCGGGTCGCAGCTTTGAATTGTTATATATGAACTCCTGGTTTTTGTGCCTGCACTGTGGCCAATGGCACAAAGTACGCACGAACTCCATTCAGTAAACAATAAAGAGCACTATAGAATTTTCATCGATAGGATAGGTATGCATTGCTTCATTACGAATAAGTTGAAATACGTCCACCTGAATATATATATATATATATATATATATATATATATATATATATATATATATATATATATATATATACAATTTTTTCTTTGACCAAATCCCTCCTATCGAAACGGTAGTAAAAAGTGCGTTTTTGTGTGCTGTTGGGGACCTTCCTTGGAGTTCTTTGATGATTCGTTGGAATCCGAAGGAGATTAAGGCTACAAGATGTGACATGGTTTAGCTCTTCGGATAACTTCGACTACCTTGATTTCATCGGCGCACTGATAGTACATGAGCCCAGCAGCATTTCGCGACCATCGACAGTAGACCACCGTGGCTGCAATCGAGGTCGAAACTTTTGGGTCTGAAGGCCATCACCATAAGCACTGGGTGATGTGCTTCCGAAGCGTATCGAAGCACATCGAATTAATGGGTGATGAAACAACTTCTTGAGGTTCTAGCAAACTATACATTTCTCACACCTATTGAACACCAATCTTATGCCACTTAAAAACTATAAGTCACTCAAAATGTCTATGAACATAACTTTGTAGAACTTTTCTTGAAACGTTCGGTATGCGATGCTGCCTTTATTATCACACCTGCACTTTTCAGTACTACGCCGTGCTTGTCTGTCATACCTAAGATCACTTCCCATTCTTCTCTGTTTGGTGAGTGTGTGTGTGTGAGTGTGTGTGTGTGTGTGTGTGTGTGTGTGTGTGTGTGTGTGTGTGTGTGTGTGCACACGCGCGCGCGCGTTTTAAATGATAAGACTCACCCTTTGTCGAAGCTGTGCCTACATTGCAGGATTTGGAAGTGTTACCCATTACTTCGCGAAACAAGGGTGCCTAGAGATAGGAAAGTGAGAGAAGTTGCTGAATCGCTTTTTTTATATACACAAGTATTGCGAAACGTATGTTGCGAGGCCTTCGGTGACTTTGCACCAACTAGAGATAGATTATCTTACTGCCAACCTCTGACCTTTCATGTCATAATTTTTCTTGCTAGTTATATATGTGTATCATTCAGTAAACTTTCAGTTGCTAGTCTGCGCGTGTGCGTGCCTTCTTTGTTTTTTTCTCGCTTTTTTTGCGCAGTTTTGTAGTTATGAAGTACCAACTCGCCCAGCGTTCAGTTCTCTAAGCTCTTTGTCTAAGCTCTTTGGAGAATATCTTCGCGGGAGCATCTGTGTGACTCGCAGATCCAGGTGGGTATGGGAGAGCAGTGCTGGATAGGTGGCGCGCCGAAAAAGAGCACCTGGCGGAGAGTCGCAGCACAGCTCAGCTGCTTGCACCCAGCCGACCGGCCACACTGAGAGCACGCGCGTGCTCCACTGCCGTGCTTCATTTCGGAACGAACAGCTCGAAGAGCCATTGCGCCAGTAATACTGCACTGTGGTTTAGAAAAATAACCTGGTCCGAAGGCTACTGTCACATAAAAAGCACTACAAACTGGAGAGAAGCCCTGCAAAGTGGACTGCGTCTATACACATGATATCGAAGGGACAGTGTTGTGCTGTGATATGGCAACTACCTCGTCCTCCTTTTTTGCTTGCATGCTAGGTTTTTGGCTAATGGTAATGCTTGCTGACATTCCCCCATTGATAAGACAGCACTGTGACGGTACCACGCTGCAAAACATCTCCGGTAAAAAAAATCAAAAGCACAGTGAGTGGTAGCTGCGTCATTTTTTTTTCTGTCATCGTTTGTACACCTCGTCTGTGGTATCTATGCACGGGGACAGAGATCAAGCAACCCATCGTGGCATCATAGCACGTGTGGTGTCATGCTTCTATTCTTGAGGACGCAAGATAGATTAGCGACCATGGCGGCCGCACTTCGATGGAGGTGAATTATAAAAAGAACACCTGTGAACCCAAATGTATGTGTGCATCGGAGAACCCCAAGTGGTCACAATCTCGATACGGCCACTTCAGCGAACCTCAAAATGATATCTTGATTGGCACATGAAAGCCTAGCAATTATAGATGTTGAACAGACACCTTCATTTCAGGCCGACACAGGCAAGCGAAAAAACTGAATCTGTGTGCTAGGTGAACAAAAGAAAGAGTAAAAATCGAAGACATTCGATACTTCCCTAGCAAGGCACGAATTCCGACGTTACTTAGTCCCGGTAGCCAGTGAGAAAAAATATTGCCACGTCGGCTGACTCCAGAAAGCTAAGCTTCAAGTATAGTGCTGCTTCATTCGCCACAAGAACCCAGTCTTTTGCCACAATTCAAGTTAAACAGAGGCATCTCAGCATCGAGTGTTCACCGCGAGGGTTTTTTTTTATTACTGCTCGGAGGTGTAAGTGAACGTGGCCACACACAAGGCTTGCGGACAAGACAGCTTTCCTTCACATGCAACTGTTTACACAAGAAACGACTATCTCATATCATTCACTTCACGCGGTGGCATCAGATGAAGTTTGGTGTTGGTGGTCAGATGAATGAACACATGAAAACTTCGTTAGTCCTGAAGTGCGTGACTCGATGCTGAGTGGGCCACATGAAAAGAAGTTCCGTAATAAATATATATATATATATATATATATATATATATATATATATATATATATATAATAAATAGAGGTGTTGTACGTCGAGAAAGGTTCAGACGTAGCTTAGCAAAATGTCCTTTATCAGGCAGGTCTGGCTAATGGCGAGCGGCGTGCGCGAGCTACTACTGCAGCCACCGATCATCATCGTCTTCTTCGTTGCCAGCAGAGCGTCCGTTACTCAGATTCATTAATTCATTACAATTACTCCCCGCGAAATAAGGAGCCATCCTGGCGACCTATGGACAAGTAAACACGGGAGGGTCGTAGCAGGGCTTAAGTCTCGAGACGTGGACAATTTCCTGGCCACGACGACGTTGGTCAGAAGATGGTTCCAGTGGCTCGATGAGGTAATTCACCGGTGACGTTTTTTGTAGCACACGATATGGGCCGTGATACTTGGGGACCAACTTGGTAGAAAGGCCAGGTGTAGCAGAAGGAACATGCAGCCAGACGAGTGAACCTGGATCGTAGGAAGTAGTGTTATTTGATGCGTCATGGTGGTGCTTTTGGCGTCCTTGGTCTTGGGTTGTGAATGATCTTGCCAGTTGGCGGCATTCCTCAGCGTATGTAGCGGCTTGAGACAAAGTCGTGGACTCTGAGGAGTCAGGTTTGTACGAAAGAATGGTGTCCATAGTGCAAGAAGGTTCGCGTCCGTAAAGGAGGAAAAAAGGAGAGAACCCAGTAGTGCTTTGAATGGCGGTATTATAAGCGAACGTGATAAACGGGAGCACTCGGTCCCAATTGGAGTGGTCTGACGAGATATACATAGACAGCATGTCACCAAGGGTGCGGTTGAAGCGCTCTGTCATTCCATTGGTCTGGGGATGATAGGCGCTTGTAGTGCGGTGAACGACGTGGCACTCACGCAGCAATGCTGTGATGACGTCTGACAAGAATACGCGACCACGATCGCTCAGTAACTCCCGAGGTGCTCCATGACGTAATACGATGTTGTGAAGAACGAAAGTCGCAACGTCTTTTGCTGTAGACGAGGGAAGGGGTGAAGTTTCGGCATACCGCGTGAGATGGTCGACGGCAACTATGATCCAGCGGTTACCGTCAGCAGTGTTGGGAAGAGGACCATAGATATCGATGCCGACGCGGTCGAATGGTCGGGATGGGCATGGTAAGGGTGGCAAGGTACCGCTGGCGTGACAAGGGGGAGTTTTTCGTCTCTGGCACGTCGAGCAGGCCCGAACGTATTGTCGTATAAAACGGTACATGCCACGCCAGTAATATCGGAGACGTATGCGAGAATAAGTCTTCAGGAAACCTGCGTGGCCACATTGGGGGTCGTCATGAAACGTGGAACAAATTTCGGATCGCAGATGACGTGGAATCACGAGTAGCCACTGACGTCCACCGGGTGCGTAGTTGCGTCGGTACAGCACGTCGTCGCGAGTGGCGAAGTGCTCCAATTGCCGACGCAACGTGCGAGAAGGGGGGGAAGCCGTCCGCCCAGCCAGGATGTCTAGAATCGAAGCAACCCAAGGGTCCTTGCGTTGCTCAGATGGCATGTCGGCGATGGTGACGGCAGTGGTATCACAGGTTAGACTTTCGCAGCAGTCCGGGTCAGGGGGTAGAGGCGAACGGGATAGGGCGTCTGCGTCCGAATGTTTCCGGCCGGAGCGATAGACCACGCGAATATTATATTCTTGGAGGTGTAATGCCCATCGGGCGAGGCGACCGCTTGGATCCTTCAATGACGACAACCAGCAGAGGGCGTGGTGGTCAGTCACGACGTCAAAAGGGCGCCCGTACACGTAAGGTCGAAATTTTTCTATCGCCCAAATAATGGTGAGGCATTCCTTTTCAGTGACAGAATAGTTGCTTTCGGCTTTGCTGAGAGTTCGGCTTGCGTAGGCAACCACGTACTCTTGGAAGCCGTCTTTCTTCTGTGCAAGAATAGTGCCTAGCCCGACACCACTAGCGTCGGTGTGGATCTCTGTGGGTGCCGATGGGTCGTAGTGTCGCAGAATAGGCGGCGACGTGAGGAGGCGGCGCA